ACAGCCCTTCCCTCATCTATCAACTTTGTCACTTCCTCAAAGAATTCTATCAAGTTGGTAAGACATGACCTTCCCTGCGCAAAGCCATGCTGCCTATCACTAATAAGCCCATTTTCTTCCAAATGTAAATAGATCCTATCCCTCAGTATCTTCTCCAGCAACTTCCCCACCACTGACATCAAGCTCACCGGTTTATAATTACCTGGATTATCCTTGCTACCCTTCTTAAACAAAGGGACAACATTAGCAATTCTCCAGTCCTCCGGGACCTCACCCGTGCTCAAGGATGCTGCAAAGATATCTGTTAAGGCCCCAGCTATTTCCTCTCTCACTTCCCTCAGCAACCTGGGATAGATCCCATCCGGACCTGGGAACTTGTCCACCCTAATGCCTTTTAGAATACCTAACACTTCCCCCCTCCTTACGCCAACTTGACCTAGAGTAATCAAACATCTATCCCTAACCTCAACATCCGTCATGTCCCTCTCCTAGTGAATACCGACGCAAAGTACTCATTAAGAATCTCACTCATGTTCTCTGACTCCTTGCATAACTTCCCTCCTTTGTCCTTGAGTGGGCCAACCCTTTCTCTAGTTACCCTCTTGCTCCTTATGTATGAATAAAAGGCTTTGGGATTTTCCTGAACCCTGTTTGCTAAAGACCCCTTTTAGCCCTCTTAATTCCTCGTTTCAGATTGGTCCTACTTTCCCGATATTCTTCCAAAGCTTCGTCTGTTTTCAGTCGCCTAGACCTTATGTATGCTTCCTTTTTCCTCTTTGCTAGTCCCACAATTTCACCTGTCATCCATGGTTCACTAATCTTGCCCTTTTTATCCCTCATTTTCACAGGGACATGTGTGTCCTGCACTCTAATCAACCTCTCTTTAAAAGCCTCCCACATATCAAATGTGGATTTACCCTCAAACAGCTGCTCCCAATCCACATTCCCCAGCTCCTGTCGAATCTTGCCATAGTTGGCCTTCCCCCAGTTTAGCACTCTTCCTTTAGGACCACTACTTGTCTTTGTCCATGAGTATTCTAAAACTTACGGAATTGTGATGGCTATTCCCAAAGTAATCCCCTACTGAAACTTCAACCACCTGGCCGGGCTCATTCCCCAACAGCAGGTCCAGTATGGCCCCTTCCCAAGTTGGACTATTTACATACTGCTCTAGAAAACCCTCCTGGATGCTCCTTACAAATTCTGCTCCATCTAAACCCCTAACACTAAGTGAATCACAGTCAATGTTGGGAAAATTAAAATCTCCCATCACCACTACCCCCCTGTTGCTCCTACATCTTTCCATAATACGTCTACGTGTTTGTACCTCTATCTCACGCTCTCTGTTGGGAGGCCTGTAGTACAGCCCCAACATTGTTACCGCACCCTTCCTATTTCTGAGCTCTGCCCATATTGCCTCACTGCTTGAGTCCTCCATAGTGCCCTCCTTCAGCACAGCTGTGATATCCTCTTTGACCAGTAATGCAACTCCTCCACCCCTTTTACCTCCCTCTCTATCCTGCCTGAAGCATCTATGTCCTGGGATATTTAGTTGCCAATCTTGCCCTTCCCTCAACCAAGTCTCAGTAATAGCAATAACATCATACTCCCAGGTACTAATCCAAGCCCTAAGTTCATCTGCCTTACTTACTACACTTCTCACATTAAAACTAATGCACCTCAGACCACCTGTCCCTTTGCATTCATCATCTGCTCTCTGCCTACTCTTCCCCTTAGTCACACTGACTTCATTATCTAGTTCCTTGCAGGCTTTAGTTACTACCTCCTTACTGTCCACTAACTTCCTCATTTGGTTCCCATTCCCCTGTCACATTAGTTTAAACTCTCCCCAACTGCATTAGCAAAAGCACCCCCTAGGACATTGGTTCCAGTCCTGCCCAGGTGTAGACCGTCTGATTTGTAATAGTCCCACCTCCCCCAGAACTGGTCCCAATGTCCCAAAAATCTGAACCCCTCCCTCCTGCACCATCTCTCAAGCCACTCATTTATGCTGCCTATTTTTTCATTTCTTCCCTGACTAGCACGTGGCACTGGTAGCAATCCTGAGATTACTACCTCTGAGGTCCTACTTTTTAACTTGGCTGCTAACTCCCTAAATTCTGCTTGTAGGACCTCATGCCGTTTTTTACCTATATCATTGGTGCCTGTATGCACCACGACAGCTGGCTGTTCACCCTCCCCCTTCAGAATGTTCTGCGGTCGATCTGAGACATCCCTGACCCATGCACCTGGGAGGCAACATACCATTCGGGAGTCTCGTTTTCGACCACAGAACCGCCTATCTACTCCCCTTAAAATCGAATCCCCTATGACTATAGCCCTGAACCCAAACACTGCTGACTATTTTCAGCAGTTTGTCTTTTATTGTATTGCAGACCATTGCTGTTTTCAAGAACTTTAGTTCAGTCTGGAGTTGCAAATTTGGCCCCCAGATCTGTTCCATGAAAATCACCTTCCAGTCGTTCACAGCCCAAAAACAAGCTCTTCAAGAACTTAATGAGCAGTTCGTTTTATTCTTTCATCAAATGTGTGTGCTGCTTAAGGGAAGGGTCAGCATTTGTTGCCCATCCCAGTTACCCTTGTGAAAACGAAAGGAACCACCTGCTTGAACCAGTGAAGTGCATCTAATATACAGATGTCCTTCATGCTGAGGTTAATGGAAAGTGAGAAAGTTGTTAGATCTCCCTTCCACACTTTGATAATTACAACATGTTTTGAAGCTGTCAAGATTGGTAAACCATATGACAAACTTGAGAATTCATTCCAAACCATTTTGAAATTTGCCAGTATATATATTGTCTTATCCCTGTTTTTGAAATGGTCATTTCATTGGCTCATTTGCTGAAATGTATTTAGTAACAATGTGAAAATATAACTGTCAGACATGTAGCAAAGTGTTACCGTACGGAGATATGAACCAAAAAGTGCCATCAGTGTTCTGTTGACTTGGAATTTCCTTCAAATTGCTCTTGCTGTATCAATGTGACTTCATTGGGAATTGTGTTGCAAAAAGATTTTTGCTCAGCACCTCCATCAGAATCAGAGCAGCCATGTGGGAACAGCTCTGATGAAAATTCTGGGCGCTTTAATTGTGTTTCCTTTTTGTATTATAGGTTTATCCAAACTGTTCATGTATCCAGCAAGATGGAAATACTTTTGCTGCACAAGAGGGAAAATGTGGCTCTTCATGTGGCAAGATGCCTATATTTATGGGATTTTTTCTGGTTGCTGTCATTTTCACATTCATGACCAGCACACCAATTACAACATCTGTTCTCAGGTATGCTGTATATGCAATATCCAAAAAAACAGCAGCTATTTTGATAAGCTAATTATTTTTGCCAAGCTTCAGGAAATACAATGGGATAAGGTATTTTCAAAAGTGTAAATATAATTTAAATATTTTATGATCTCTATATTTTTAATTATTCTAATCTGAATTGAACACACAGCAGTGCATAAAAGAACAGTTGACTATTTGATACTTTGCATGAACATATTTAGCCAATATTATGAGGCCTTTTAATGTATGATGTTAGTAGTGAGCATTTTATTTATCTTTGGTGTGTCCTCACTGATTACTTAGACATCTTCCAAATTTCTCAGTTTGTTCTATCCAAACTTGCCCAGACTGTGAAATGTTTGGTGTCCTGTTTGATGTCACTCTACTTGCATGTACTGTGATTGAAAACAAACTGGCAAGCTCTCCTTCTGCAATCACTTTTGCAGCTGAGTTGATTACATTGAGAGGGACCCTAAATTTTGTACAACTCAATGATATCATCTGAAGCTTGCAGTAGACCATTGAAATGATCCAACATTGTGCTACCCAGATCTCCTCTTACTGAGCTACTTGGCTACAACTGAAATGCCTGATGGTATGGTGGATCCATTCCTGGGGTTCATGTGTACACAGGTGGTTCTGTTGTTAGTTTCTGCCCTGCCACTTCCCCACCCCAATCCCTGCACTGAATAGCGGCAGATTTGCCCTTCACATAATAATAATCCATTACCGAACTGCCAGGTGTATTGTTAACTACACACCACTGCCTTTGGGATGAATGTGAGAATTCAATCTATTGGCATTGGCAGTAATCACTTAACTAAATGTCTCATGCATTCTGAGCTTCATAGCTTTTTTATTTTGCTTTCTGAGAGAGCAACAGTGATCTGCTTCAAGGCATCTGAAATACCTGAGCTCATTGCAGTCTGACTTTTGCCTATGTCTTATCTGTTCCTTTTGGTTTTGTCCTGGGCAAATTGGATTGTTGGCTGTCAAACTAGTTCATCCATGAAATGTTCTGAGGCAGTAACTGCATAAAATGAGAGCATAAGTGCTGGGTAGCTCAAGAGTTTCAGTTCTAAGGAAGGGTCATCAGACCCAAAATATTAACTCTGATTTTTTCTCCACAGATGCTGCCAGACCTGCTGAGCTTTTCCAGCAACTTCTGTTTTTGTTCCTGATTTACAGCATCCACAGTTCTTTCAGTTTTTATTCAAGAGTTTCCATTTCTGGTAAAGCAATTCAATTTGTAAATGATCTAGGACTATCGACAGAAATATAGGCCAGCAATTACTGTCCATCCCTATCATTGGTGGTTAGCCTTCTTGAAATGTTGCAGTCCATTTGGTGTACACCCACCATGCCGTTAAGGATGGAGTTTCAGGATTTTGACCCAGCCATATTGAAGTAATGGCAATGTTCTTCCACGGCAGGATGGTGAGCAGCTTGGAGGGGAATTTACATATGATGATGTTTGCATGTATCTGTTGCCTTTGTCCTTCTGGATTTAGTGGTCATGGGTTTGGAGAATGCTGTTTAAGGATCCTTGGTGAACTTTTGTAGTGCATCTTGTTGATAATACACATGCTGTTTCTGGACATCAGTGGTGGAAGGAGTGGATGTTTGTGAATGTGGTGCAAATTAAGTGGGCTGCTTTGTCTTGGATGGCGACAAACTTCTTGATTGTTGTTGGAGCTGCACTTTATCAGGCTAGTGGAGGGGCTGCCATCTTGATCCTGACTTAAGTCTTGTCATATTGAATACTTATAGTATTCCTAGCTCTGACCTGCTCTTCTATCTTCAGTATCTATATGGCTGGTCGAGTTCAGATTATGGTCCATGATAATCCGCCCTCAGGATGTAGATAACGAGGGATTCAGTGATGGTTATGGCCATTGAATGCCAAGAGGAGATGGCAATATTCTCTTTTGTTGGAGATGGTCATTGCCTGGGATTTTTGTAACACGAATGTTACTTGCTACTTGTTAGCTCAACCTGAATATTATCCAGGTTTTGCTACATTTGGACGTGAACTGTTTTAGCATGTGAGGAGTCGTGAATCATACTGAGCATTGTGCAAACATTCTCAGTTCTAACTTTTTGATGCAGCAGCTGAAGATCATTGGGCCAAGATTACTACCCTGAGGAACTCCTGTAGAGATGTCCTGGAGCTGAGGTGACTGACCTTTAACAGCCACAACCATCTTCCTTTGTGCCACGTATGACTCCAGCTACCAGAGAGTTTTATCCCCTGATTCCTGTTGAATCTAGCTTTGCTCAGACTTCTTGATGCCAAACTCAGTCAACTGCTGCCTTCTGTCAAGACAGTCACTCTCACCATACCTCTGGAATTCAACTGTTCTGTCCATGTTTCAACAAAGACTCATGAAGAGGTCAGAAGCAGAGTGGACCTGGCAGTATCTGAACTGAACATCAGTGAGCAGATTATTGCTAAGCAAGTGCAACCTGATAGCACCTTCCATCACTTTATTGATGATCGAGAGTAGACTGATGGGGCAGTAATTGGCGGGTTGGGTTTGACCCAGTTTGTGGACAACTTTCCACATTGTTGTGTCAATGCCAGTATTTTAGCTTTACTGGAATAGCTTGGCTAGGGGTCTGGCAAGTTCTGGAGCACCCTTATTCAGTTCTATTGTTCGAATGTTGCCAGGGCCCATAGCCTTTGCAGTATCCAGTGCCTCCAGTTGTTTCTTAATTTCACGTGGAGTGAATTGGATTGGTTGAACATCAGCATCTGTGATGCTCAGGTCCTCTGGAGGAGGCCAAGATGGATCATACACTTGGCACTTCTGGTTGAAGGTTCTTACAAAAGCTTCCGCTTTGTGTTTTGCACTGATGAGCAGGGTGCCCCCATCATTGAGAATGGGAATATTTGTGGAGCCTCCTCCTCCAATGAGTTGTTTAATTTTCCACTACTATTAATGAAGGGATGTGGCAGGACTGCAGAGTTGTAATCTGATCTATTGGTTGTGGAATCCATTAGCCCAGTTTATCACTTGCTGCTTATGTTTGACAAACAGTAAGTCCTGTTTTGTAGCTGGTAATACGTTTTTATGTTTGCCTGCTGCTGGATCTGATACTTGCATTATCCAATTAACAGACCAAAGGTAGAAATCTAACTGTTAAAATTGTTCTTCTCTAAAATTTTGAAACTTATCTTGATTTAATAGAATTGTGATTTTGATTTACACAACCCTATTTACCAGACTTGCTGCTAAAATGTGGTTTCTCAAGTTCAAGTTGAGTTCAATTTGAACAAATGTGATCTCAAACACTTTGAACCTAAGGACTATAAGTTTATGTGTATTTCTGAGTGGTAAGGGACCAAGAACTGTCAAAGATTAAAGATTTTTGGGAATGCATAAACCATTTATTGCTAAATGGCAGGTACTAAAATAATAGATGGGCTGTTGTAAAATTAACCTTTAATGAAAGAGGGTTAGACTACAAAGGTGAGAGAATTTTACATCTTTTATATAGCGCTTTTGTTATCTACCAGTAGTCTTTTATTTTAAAATTCTGGTTGCTTTTGGTCAAAATTGACATCCATCCCCTCTACCCAAGATAGGAGCCCTCCAGACTACACTGACAATGAATCCCTGCTGAATTTGACAAATTTAGCTTTCAACATGTGGTGTTGAGCTCCTTCTCTGCCTGGACTTACTCAGGGTACACAAAGGTACATAACAAGTGGTCTAATTAGGTTGCATTGCTGAGTTTTGCTATTCATTGCAGATATACTCTCAAGACCAGTGATTGGCCTTCCCAGGGGCAAGGGTCCATCCCTTGGTGGGTGGTCCACTGAAAAAGGCCTCTTTACGACTTCAATAGCTGACCAGACCACTCCTCCCTGATGATTGCATTACTTTCTTTTGCCTCTGAAATATTCTATACAAACACTTTGATCAGTTTATTCCTCCTAAAACAAGTGCTTTTACTGTGTGAGACAGACTGAGGTTCAAACTTAATTTTATTCAGACACCTGCAAGTTAAAGAAAACAACTCTTAGACAAATTAAATTAACTTTTCCTAAAACTATGCTGACTGCCTGAAAAACACATACGCTATCCACTCTGGTGAACTTGATTGGGCTGCTGCATTCAATTCACTGAGCTCCATCAATAGGCACTCTCAGGGTCTTCTTAGTATGAAGGTGGATTTCACACAGAGTTTTCACTGGCTGCTTCTTATCCAGTCATCTCACCCCTTGAGCTCAGCTCTTTTACACGTGTTTGAACCAAGGCTCTGATGAGATCAGGCGCTAAGTGGCCCAAGTGGAATCCGAAATATTGAATGTATGGCTGGGAATTTCTCAAAGGTGTTCCCACTCCATATCCACAACTTTGGTGTGAGTGCACCACAGAACACAATATATCACAACTTACCAAACAGTAATTTCTTAACTTTCACTAAACTGTTGTAAAAAGAAGATAAAATAACAAATTAATCAGTGCTCTCATGTTCTTCTAACCAGTCAGTGAAAGGGTGCTTACCTTCCTGAGCTGGGGAAGGAAGCAAATGAATGACAATAAATATTCCTTACTAAACCTTATTTTTTGTTTTCATATTATTATTCAGGTTGCATAATTTTAACTAGAATTTTTTAAAAAAATTACTTACAGGTGTGTTCCTGATAACCAACGCTCATTTTCATTGGGCATTCAGTGGCTCTTTGTAAGGATCCTAGGTAAGAAGCTAAAATGAAACCATTGGTACTGTAAATTATCAACCAAATCAGATGCTGGAAATCTGAAATAGAAACAAGAAATTCTGGATACATTCAGCAGATCAGGCAGCATATGCAGAATGTAACAAATGACTTTTCATCAGAACAAGCATCAGAATAAAATGAAGTTGAATGAAAATCCCATTTACAAATGAAGGAATATCACACAGGTCCATATATAGAATGACATTCATGCATTCAAGTGGAACTAAGCACGTGGCACAATGGCCACAAGTGGCCTGGATTTCTGTTGGACTGAGACTGTTGTTCAAGTGGAATCCATTATAAAGCCCCAGGGATTCAGTTTCAAGCTCAAATTCAGAAATTGCTAGAGAAACCAGGAGGTCTGCTGTGTCTGTGTAGAGAAAACAGAATTAATGTTTCAAGTCCAGTGACCCTTCTTCAGAACTGATAGCATCTAGGAAAACTTGGTATTTGTCCTGCTGGTGCAGCAGAGGGGGAAAAGGAAGAGTGGATAGGTGGAGGTTGAACCCAGAGAGAAAGAAAGGAGAAAAAGCTTCAGTTTCAGGCTGTCTCTTACATGGCTTAGTGATAGCAAGGATTGGAACTGTTGTCTTGGAGCAAGATTGACTCCTTTCTTATAACTCCTTTCTTATAAATTCAGGCCTGGTTTGAAACTGAAAACAAATTCACTGACCTCCACATGGTTACATCCAGACTAGACTAAGGAGACAACCTGAAGCTCTAGTTCTGCTGAATATTAAGTATTCTTGAACTCAATACTGAGTATTAGTGGCACAGCCTGAGTTCGGGTTTCTCTCATGTCTAAGTCACACACCAACCCTTTTCCCCAAACAGAGAAAATAGGATCTGTTAGAAATGGGGTTGGGATTTCCTGCTGTGGATCCTGCCCACCATTTTTAAAAGTACTCAGCGTCTCTGAAACCCTGTGAAAAGCTAGGACGAGAAATCTTCACAGTATGTTTCGGCAGGCTTAAGTCAGTTTACAGTGAATATGAACAAAATTGGCCAGACTCAGTGCCAGCATCACATTTTGGCAATCAGAGTAGTTGGCATTAGAAATGGAAAATGTTACGCAGATGGAGATAAGTCATTCTAAAGCTGAGATTCATTGTTCTGACAAAAAAGTAAAAGACTATTCTGGGAGTGCTCAGTGATTGAAGTCAACAACAAAAATATGGAAGAGTAGAGTGAGAAGGAAGAGTAAGTGAGCAGACAAAATGTTTGAAGAAATATTACAGCTCACTGATCAGAGTCAATGTTAAAACAAAAACATTTTTTTCAGTTCTTTGGCATCCAGCGGGTATGAAAGAAATCCAGGCTCTGATTAGCCATTTTTTAAAAAAAAGTTTCCAATTGTATAATGTGTAACCAAAACTGACAACAACAGTGCAACAATGAAAATTTTCAGAAGTTGAGACTAAGTTTAGCTAATATTAATCCAGTTCTGTTGAGATAATTTTTTAAAAACAATAAAAATTAAAACATTAGTTTATTTGCCTTCTCCCGTTCTCTGTTTCCTATTTTCTTTCACTTCTGTTACATTCTTTGACTTTTTTTTTACTTCTAATATACTCTATCAATAAATCTAAAGCAAGTTCACTTCCTTTTCCTCCAGCCTGTAACCCACCATTCATTTTGTAGTGGCAGCAAGTATTGGATTATTTATTTTTATTATTGAATTAAAGCTTAAAGATTATTTTGAATTAAATATGAAGAAAATGTACATTGTTACTGAATAAATTATTTATGGCAAAAACCTCTAATAACCCATTTTTAAACACAAAACCATGATAGAAGGTAGACATAGGATAGTGTACTGGACAAAAAATGTCAATTTCAACAGAAAATAGAATTAACTGTTCAGTAGTATTCCTAGAACTGAAAAAAAAAAGACATGCACAGCAATTGCATTGCAGTCAGAGGACTAGCTCAGATGTAGCACTGATATTAAAACTATAGATAAATACCCAATAGCACAGTGGGTTAAGATTGTCAGCAGTTCTGCTATTTTGATTACAGAGATCCAAAGCTTGATATATGGACTGGGATACACTCAGTATACTCACTAGGATAGTTGTGAGGTTGCTGCAAGAGACTGCAGTGTCTGGGTTAGACAACGGCCAGGCGTCCATATTTGTGGGCATCTGATGCTGACAAAATTGGGCTGAGTTGTTTGGACAATCTATAGATATTTTCTAATCAATCTATTCAGGGATGAAATGACACTCCTCCGGAGCAATTGGGACTTGAATCCGGGCCTCTTAGTCAAGAGGTATGGACATTACTGCTATACTGCAAGAGCCTTATTTTAGACAGAAATAAGGACATATGTTACCACCTGAACAGATTGTTTTTGTTTTCATTCATTTGTTTCACGAAAACCTAATAGTACTCCTAAAGTTCGATTTTTAACTTTTCATTTACTGGCTTACAGGCACTATTCCAGGACCAATTCTATTTGGTACAGTGATCGATATGTCTTGCATCCTGTGGAATAAGAATGAGTGTGGTGTTAAAGGTGCATGCTGGACATATGATAACCCAAAAATGGCCAATTTAATTACAGCCATTGGTAAGTTTTCCATTCAGTTTCATTGAAGAGAATATGAATATATGTAAATGAATTCTAACTTGAAAAGTAAACACATTCCTTAATGGCTCATTGAATTAAAGTGCTGGCATAATATGAGAAAGCTTCCAATATAATTCAGCTATGGAGCAGCTGGAATTGTTACTCTGAACTTAGAACGAATGCTAATTTCAGTTGTATTAAATGATCAAGTGTGCCTGCAGACATCAGTCTGTGGTCAGTCCAAGCTATTATATTTTATTTGCTGCAAAACCAGTGCATCAGCAGCAGACAAGTTAACATGCATACTCACAGCTTTTATACTGTGTATCTGAATGACAATATCATTTGTGTTGGTATACAAGTCACAATCCTGCATGACAGTGGAATTTATTTCACACGAAATTAACCTTTATCTATTTACTATGCCTCCAGTTACTTTCTCTTTTTGTCCGAGATGAACATTTGTGAACAGTTACGTCCCTGCTATTTTGTTACAGTTCAATGGCCTGTTTGTATAAACATTGCACAATTTAAGTCTGATTAATTTAGCTACTCAGAAACACTGGCAAACAAGTTATAATTGATTTTTATGATGTTGGTTGGGAGCTAAATATTATAGAGGACACCAAGGTGATTTCCCCACCTGTCTTTGATGTAGTGCCATTTTACATCCACCTGAAAGGGTAGAAGTGGCCTCAGTTTTACGTCACAGTACCTTCTACAATGCAGCACTTCCTCTGTGCTGCTCTTGAGTATTGGCCGAACATTTTGTGTTTAAATCTCTGGAGTAAGACACGTATCTACAATCTTCTAACTGAGAGTCAAGTGTGCCACCAACTGAGCCACAGCTAGCACTGCATAATATGCAAAATTTTGAAGGGGTTGGATAGAGTGGATCAAGAGAAAATGTTTCCACTTGCACGATGGTCAGAGAAGACAGATTTTAGATACTTAGCAAGAGTGTGGGGAGATAACCTTTTTGGCAATCTAGAATATATTGCCTGAAAGGATGGTGGAAACGGTTTTTATGGTAAATTTCAAAATGAAATTTCATACATATTTAAAAAGAATAAATTTATAGTTCTAATGGAATGATTACTTTATAGAACTGACCTTTTTCTGTGCTGGAAGATTCTTTTGTCAATATAATTAAAACTGCATGTTCTGTTTCTAGGCACAAGTGCCAAAGTGATCTCGATTGTTGCACTTGCTACAGCTTCTTTTCTGTATAGACCACCACAGATTACTGAAGCTAGAGAACAAACAGCTGATCAGCCGTTTCAACGGTGGAAGTTCTGGGCCAAGACCAAGTCTTAACTGTGGCTTAGGAATATTGTGTTTACCAACCATTAAAGCAGTGCAATAATGAACGTATAACATACTGAGAAACAAAAATAAATGTATTTTATATATACTTTTGTTTGCTAAATATGACAATGATTGGAAATTTCTGTCTTGGATGACTTCCACTTTAAAATGTATGTCTATCATATAAAGCAATTGGATTGATTTTGATGTAAATTTGCTCTATTGTTCAGGTCTGATCAGAGATCATCTCCTTTTTCTAAACCTTTTCATCATTATGAATTTTTGGTAAACACAACAACTGGTGGAAATTGATTTGAAAAAAATGCCCATTACCATTATATGAAAACATGTGAAATACACAAACTGCTTTAGTAGATATTGGAGGTGCCCTGTCTATAATGTAGTGTTCTTGATGTTTCATGAGTGAAGTAAATGATATCTAGCCTTTATTTTGGCATATTCCAAAAGTAGTAATTAACTAAATGTGCATGCTAAATAAATTAACAATGAAATACTTTAGGAATCCTTTAACAAATTAATAATATAGAACTAAATATAGAAATAACATGTATAATAAATGTAAATGCCCCTGAGTTTCTGCTTCAGATTTGACTTCTATTTCTGCTATAATTCATGATTGTTTCCTGAAGCCCATTTTGAAACCACATTAATTAATTCACTCCTGTAGCCAAAATACTTTTATAACTCAGGTCTGGTGCTATTTAATAACCACTTATAGGGTTTCCTTACCTCATCTTAGCCCATGTTCATTTGTACCTTCATGTCCTAGCCTTCCACATAGTTATCTTGAGAATATTTTCCTTTCAGTGGCCAAACAGAACAAAACAATCCCAAGTTAGAATGTCAAGCTTTTCAACTGGGTTATAGTAGGGACGTTATACTTTTCATTAAGATCCCTGGGTTATGAAAGAGGGGAAAAACCCCTCTTAACCTTAAACCCTATCCTTGTCAACTTGTGTGGTGCTTGTTGAAAGATTACTGCCACTTTAAAAATCATTGGTTATGGTATTAGCGAACCAGCAATGCTTCTGAAGCTGTACCCTGGCATGAGCTGTATCCAACATAAAAAAATGGAATTAAAAATAACAAAAATAACAGAAGATAAAAGAGGAAATGTTTGAATCTGAATGTGCACTACAGGAATGTTGGGCTGGTCTTCAGGTTTAAAGTGCCCATGGTTTGAACTTCTAGTCCCAGGTTATTTGCTTGTGGACAAAAACTAACATTTGTCAAGCAATTTTAACCTGGAAAGGAGGCATAACTGGGGAAAAGTTGTCCCTTGTGTTCCCTCTCACATCACCAAATAACCACAGAAGACCAAAAACAAAGAACTGTCGATGCTGGAAATCTGAAACAGAAACAGAAATTGCTGGAGAAACCCAGCATGACTGGCAGCATCTGTGGAGAGAAAGCAGAGTCAATGTTTCGGGTCCAGTAACCCTTCTTCAGAACTGATTGTAGACAGGAAATGCTTGTATATATACCGAAGATGGTGGGGGAAGGGTGCAGAAAGGGTAAACATTAGTTCTTTGATTTCTCTCCACAGATGCTGCCAGATTTGCTGAGTTTCTCCAGCAGTTTCTTGTTTTAGTTTTTGGTAGCCACTGAAGACTGGTATTAGTGGAAGGCTTGGGAGGAAGTAAGTTTCTGATCATCTTAGTTATAGTTAGCACAGAACTTGGAAGACCAAAATTAAAAGAGCCTAAATTATTATTAAACATAAGGCTGTTTCACCATTGGCAATTTCCCTTCACTGAGAAGAACAATTTGTTTCATCCCATGAGAAATGAACAGAGTCCAGTCTCAACCCAATAGCTCTTAATTGAAAGCTTACCTGTACCAGGCCAAAATGATCATTACAGCCATTTTCTAGTGCACATATTAATACAAAACTATGCAACCATCAAACGTGCAACCATTTGTTCTTCTGGATCTGGTCATGACTATGTTTTCTCAATTCCACATTAAACCTCTCCATAGTATTGTCTGTTTAGATTAACTAGTTAAAAAAAGACAGGGAATGTCCAAGGCAACATCCCAAACACTCTAATGCCCAAGTGTTCTAAGCAAAATCTTTGAAAAGCCACAATTTGTCCCCATATAGGTGTTGGTTATTTCTGTTTCCACTTCATGTATCTTGAATCAATAAAAAGCATGTATATTATTGTAAATATAATTATTCTGGTAAAATGTAAATGAAAGACTTTTGAAATGTTTTCAATTGTTAATTTGTTGAAGATTTGCCAAAAAATGTTCCAAAATTTGTAATTTCATCATTTTGAGCAATAAAGAAAATTTATCGAAATACTAGCATTTTGGATTATTGATGTTACTAACATCCTGAAGGTCACCACTGACCAAAACCTAACTGGACCAATCAAATAAATACCGTGGATACAAGAGCAGACTAAATGCTGGGAAGTCTACAGAGAGTAACTCCTTTCCAGGGTCAGAAGACCCTGTCCTCCATCTCAAGGCAGAAGTCAGGAGTGTGATGGAATGTTCCACTTGCCTGGATGAATGCAGCTCCAACAACTTTCAGAAGTTCAACAGTATTTAGGACAAAACTCATGCATCATATAGAGCCTCAGCGACAAGAAGTATCTTTGAGAAATCACATGTGGGCTCCCACAATTTCCAGTCAATCAGAAATATGATATCCAAATATTGCTGGAAATGTTTGTGCACAAATTCATATTGATTCCAAAATCAAGCTTAAAGTATTAACCTGTCCACTTTGGTGTCAAAATGCATACACGTCCATTGCACAAATGTCTGCTTGAAGCTATGTGAAGCAGTAGTAGCCAACATACTCAAATCATTAAATGCACATAGATGGGGAACACCACTGAAAACAATCCTTGTAATCCTGTCAGCTGCTCAATCACTAGGTTCAATCAAGTGGTGGTTTTCCAACATGTATTGAATCTCTGTTTCCACTAAATGAGGGAAGGGCTGTAGATGTCATATACATGGACTTCAGTAAGGCG